CTCTTCTCCAGACTAAACAACCCCAGCTCCCTCAGCCGCTGCTCATAAGACTTGTGCTCTAGACCCTGATAGGAACGGACTCTGGTGCCTCTCTTGTTTCAGAGCTGATGCTTACGGCACCCTAAGAGCTTTGCTCCCATCTATGAGCAGCAAGTGGATGTGTGCCTGGGGCACTGGAATTGCACTCTGAAATTTTCTGGGTGTTTCCCTTCCATCTAAGCAGGTATGTCTGTGTTTAGCATGAACACTGCTCCTTCTTTGTGTTGCGGTGGACACAGCTGAGCTCCAGCAGGGCAGTCAGTTCCAGGCAGCAGTGTCCTTGGTGGTATGTTCTGCTTTAACAAGGATGTAATCATTTATCCCAGAGCTGCAGGGTCCTCTCTGTTTTAGCTGAGTGAATTGCAGGGTTTTGGATGAAGAGCCCTGCACAGGCTGTACTGCCTTGCTGTAGGAGTGCATCCCCCCGTCCCCATAGTCGCAGACCCCAGCTCTGCAGCACTTCTGGCCCAGCTGGAATCTGCTGGGACAGAACAGGGTCGATGAGTGCTCTCTCACCCCACACAGCACCCTGTTTGCGTGTTACGCATGTCACGTTTGCCAAGTGATCCTTATTCCCATATGCCTGCAAAGACTTGCATGAATGAGCTTACGTTGCTCGTGCTATTTTGGTATAAACTTTGCTTTAAAGTGTCAGGCCCCACTGATGTGGACATTTGATAATTCAGATGCATCTGTCTGGCTGCTGGTGTTAGGGCTCTGCATGGGTCACTGACTCAGGGAAGAAGGTCTTCTCCTTAAGGAAATCTCTGTGCTAAGAGCTGGCAAGAAGAGAGCTGGACAGATCCAGCCAAAGGTGCTGGAAGGGACTTTGCTCTGAATTGCCTATTGATTCCTTCTTGCTGAATGACAGGGTTCTTCCCCAGTCTGGAAAAGGAGATGTTTGCATCCCTGCCAAAGGAAAATGTTTGGGTTTTTTTTCTTTGGCTGCTTTTTCTTCGGCTTACTCTTTAATGAATTCCAGCATCTGGACAAGCATCATTAGCAAAACTTCTCTGTGTGCAGTGACTCTCCCTGTTTTTAAGGAGCTGTATGTCTCTGCACAGACTATTCTTGTAGGAACCTCTGGTGGAGCTGAAGGGACCCTTGGTTTCAGGATCACGATGGGAACAAGGCTCTTCCATCACTGGAGCAGCAGGAGCGTGACCCAGGCCCGCCCCAGCCAACATCCCAGGCTGCATAGACAGTCCCATCTCACCCACGTGGCAACGGAGCGAGCAGAGCCGGGCAGCCCCAAAGCACAGCTGCACGGTGCACAGGCCAGTATCTCCATCCAGGAAAGAAATCAACTGACCAGCCCTGTGGTAGGAGTTTGCACCCTTGCTTGGAGGCTGGGTGTCTCCCCAGCATAAAGATGAAGGCAACGCAGTATCGTGGAGAAATGGCTGCTCTCTGCTTCTTTCCGAGCTCATGGTGCAGTCGGTGTCCGCAGCTGGCTTTTATCTGTGAGGTCGAGCTTCTGCAGAGGTATAAATCTTTAAGCATCTGCAGTGTGATTCGTTCCTTTGCTCTGGCAGCCTTGGTATTTAAGCCAGTAAGAAAGATAGGACCACAAAGGTGGATTTATTGCTTTGTTCCAGCTTAGTGCTTTGCTGGAGAAGCCTGGTGCCTATAAGCTAGCAGGTGAAAGGAGTCACCCGGAAGAAGACAGCGATGGAAAAGGAGGCCTGGATGGAGGTAGCTGGAGGTCAGTGTTGGTTACATGCTGAGCCGGGCTCGTCCCTCTCTGCTGTCTTCATTCTCCTCCTAAAGACGAGGAGAGTGAGGGGGCATGGGTCTCCTTTGGGGTAAGAAGTGAGGGCACAAGCCCTCCTGCCCACACCTTGCCATGCATTCAGTGGGGAGCTCAGCCCTCTTGCCCAACGGCGGCAGCCACCTGGGGGGCCTGCAGGAGTTGAGCAGATGGGGCTCAGCACACCTTGGGCATTGGGCAGTCCCTTCTCTGGTCCTGCAGCTGAAATGTGAGCACCGGGAAATGGCCAGAGCAAGCTGTCCCCAGGGGCTGTGTCTGCACTGGGACACCGGGGCCCTGGGCTGCCTTCTCCATGTGTGCCTGCAGGCTCACCGCTCTCTGGCTCCCAGGTGTGTTTGGGCAAGTCCTGCTGGGAGAAACTGGAAGGGGGGATGAATCTCCTGCAAAGGTTCCCTCATAGGACTAGACTTTCTGACATGGGATGTACGAAAGGGCCAGTGGAGGCTTGCAGGATGGGGTTTGAAAGGGTTGGGTTTTCTGGCTTTCGTGGTCAGCAGCTCTCCCTGCTCCCCCTGGTTCTGTGCTTGCAGAGGACATCAGTGGAGGACCAGCTCTCCTCCATGGTCCCTGCAGCACAGGCATTGCGGCCAGAGGCTGGACATGAGTAACTGGGAGCCTGCTGCAGAGCTGGGGGCAGCCCTGGTTGCCCAGTCAGGCTGTGTCCTTCAGGAAAGCACATGTCCCCCTCCTGCAAGGGCCCTCCCTCGCCCTCAGCCCTAGGAGAGCATTTGTGGGGTTGGTCACTTGCTGCTATCAGGGTAATTAAAGCTTTGCAGCTCAGACCCTGTAAGATCACAGGGACAGAGCCCAACACAGGGGCTGTCAAAACCATAATGTAATCTAAACTCAAGCCTGGTCCTTTCTGGTGTATCCGAAATGCCCAGGTCCTTTCTCTGCCTGCTGCCCCCTTCCCACTTCTGGAGCTTAACAAGATGACACAGCACCAAAATGCTGCAGAGCTCCAGAAATGCAGGAAATCTCTGGAGCCGGCCCTTGCAAAGAGCTAATTCTGGTCAGAAGCCGGTTTCCAAAACAGCATCTCACTCCCTCCCCAACTCCTTTGTCCTCCTCCGCAACAGCAGCCCCTCCGCATCGGCATCACCAAAGTAAAATTCCCAGCTTCGTTGCTAGCATCCAGCCAGCTGAGCAAGCAGGAATCCCAATGGAGGATTGTGCTGGGAATAAAGGACAGGTCAGGCTTCTTGTACTCAAGGGACAGAAAGAAAGCAGCGCTGGAGGGTATTTGAGATTCAGAATATATTACATTAGCTGCACAGTCACATCTGCCTTTTATTTCCCCTGTGGTTCAGGAGAAATGCTGTGTGTTTGCATTTCCTAACTGACAGCTGAGCTGGGAGATGTTTGGAGGTCGGTCCTTGCTTTATGTGCCAGTGCTCTGGACTTAACTCTGCAGGTGCTGCCCCCCCCAGCCCTGCCTGGGCACCCCAAGTTGCTCCGTGCTGTTTTGCTGGGGGCTGCTGGTGCCGGTGGGATGTGCTGGCCCAGCCATGCCCTGAGCCCCCTCCCCCGCCTCCGAAAGGTGCCCCTTGCTTCGCCCACCCGCAGGGCTGCCCTCCCTGGGGCTGCGTCACCCCACGGTGAGCGGCCTGGCCAGGGCATCATCCACAAAGTTATCGGTGTGGCAGGGTCAAGAGAAGCAGCCGCGCTGCTCCCGGCCTGCAGCACTGGCGGAGAACCCTGTGACTGTCACACCGTGTCCCTGGGGGTCTGGGGCGGATTGCCATGACGTGGCGTGACAAGGCAGGAATGGGAAGGGAATAGGACAGCGTGCTGCCGGCAGGGCCACCCAGCAGGAAGCCTGTCCGGGCTCTTCCCACACCCCGCTGCCCTCCCATGTGCCCCTCTACAGGCAAATCTCGGGCAGAGCGTGGGCATCTTCCGAATATAAGCCAGCACTGGTCACGCCAGCTCTGCAGGCACCTTCGCTGGGTTTACTTGGGAGGTAGGTCCACCCTCGCTTCTTCCATCTGCTATTGTGTAAATTGCTTTATCTTCACTTGTGAAGGCAAAAAAAGAGGTTATTTTTAACCCCTGAGCATGCAGGCAGGGCGGAGGAGAAATGGCAGGTATCTTGGGACTGAACTGTCAGGGGCATGATGCAAATCAAAGCCTCAGAGTCCATTTTCTGGGCAAACGAGGGTACACTTAGCCATGGGAGACCTTGTTCCCTTGGCCATGAACTCTTCTACAAACCAGGGCCACCACAACAGGTACCTGGGGGTGAGACCCAGACGTGCCCCACCGCCATTGGCGGGGCCAGCCTTGCCTTGCAGCCCCAGCAGCAGAGTTTGGCAGCCGCACCCCAACACCGAGCTCTTTGCAGGGGACTGGAGGGACTGCTGGGGAGTGAACCAGACACTGAGGTGTGTTCCCGAGGCGAAGCAGCAGCACAGATGACAGAACAGCTCAGTTTGATCCACATAACTATTTCTTTCTTTTTAATTATTAACTTG